TATTTCAGTTTAACCCTTCTTACATTCTATTAATATATTTTCGCTATTTTTCTGAATTTCTCTTTTAATCTGTTTATTTAACAACACCCGTGTCTTGTTTTTGTGAAGTGCCCTCAGCTCCTCATTAATGGCTTTCATCCATTTTGGATTTTTCATGGTTTCTTGTACGTTAAAAGAGAGACCACAAGTAAAAGCTGAAAAACGAGGAAGTAATTGATGATATGACACAAATTGTTGGATTGAGTGTTTTACTGGGTTCCGAATAGCACTAGGAAGATTAATTTGACTTTTAGGTGGATGTGCAATATCAAGACCATCTTCCTCAAGTGATTAGATTGGACCGGCAAGTTGGCGATGGGTTGTTGTTCTTCAGGTTGTTGTTCTTCAGGCTGTTCTTCTTCTTGTTTTTCCTTTGTTTTTAACTCCACTTTTATTTGGCTCTGTTTTGTTATTTTTCTCCTTGAACAAACCGTCTTTTCCTTCTCCATCTACACCTCAGCGTTCATTAGTTTATTGATAAAACCTTTCACATTTTTAGACAAGTTTTTACCATCTTCAGCAAGCACACTTGATTGCTCTTCAATCTATGGTTGTTCAACAATACTAACATTTGAAGCAATTCGTGGAAGTAGTCCCCAAGACTATTCTTCTTGCGGGAGCAAACCCATTGTACTAAGGAATATCTTCTCAAAACATTACATCCATGCTTTAAAAGAAAAAGATTCTACCAGAGGGATGGCAACATCTATACCTCATTTGATAAGGTGTATAGCCAAGGAAGATGCATTTAAGGGCTCTTCGATCCAACTTAATCTTATTGGAGATGTGACACTACGCTTGGTAAGTGTTAGGATCCCACATTGGAAAAGAAAAAGGTGGGCATGTGGGTTATAAAAGGCTTGTGCACCTTCCCTTGGCAAACCGGTTTTCCAAGAAGAGTTCTACCCAAGCCTATGAAAGACTCATTGCTCAGCCCAATTGTTGAGTTGTTGGAGTGAGTTCCTATCAATTAGTATCAGAGCATGATCTTGTGCCCACAAGACGTTGTCTATGTGGCAGGCTGACCCGTGGCAGGCTGACCTTGGGCCCAGGCTGCTACCCCAAGAAAGGGCATGGAGACCCGAGGGAAAAGGGATCCGCGTAGTCACCCATGGGATAAAGAGGCCGTCATGGACGTCGGTTGTAGAAGTGTGGTGGAATGTTAGGATCCCACATTGGAAGGGAAAAGGGTGGGCATGTAGGTTATAAAGACTTGGGCACTCTCCCTTGGCCAGCTTGTTTTCCAAGGAGAGTAACTCATTGCCCAGCCCAATTGTTGAGTTGTTGGAATGCCTTCCTATCAGTAAGGCTATATCTAGGAAAGAAAAAATAATTTCAAAATCAATCATAGACTGATTACACAAAAGAATAGGAGTCAACCCTATATATACAAGTAATTAAGGAATAAAGACTAATTAGCTGGAACATTGAATACGACTTATTAATGAAGAAGTATTCTGATATCTTTTGGAACAAATGTAGTAAATTCCAACTCCATGGACAAGACATGACTATCAAATTGAACATGGCATTTAGCCTGTTGCCTATAAATAATCCCTCTAACACAAGGCAAAAATGAAATGAATGATTCTCTCCAAAAGACTCTCTCTCTCTCTCTCTCTCTCTCTCTCTCTCTCTCTCTCTCTCTAAGTTTTCTCCTAATTTTGGATCTTGTTTTGCTTTATTTTCCAGTCAAGAGGTTGGCTAGAGAGTCAAAGGGTCTACTCCAGCAACAACCCAGCTGCCCTCCTAACATTTCTCTCTTTTGCAACTTCCAATCTTCCAAGAGGAGTGGCCGAGAAGATAATCCTAGGGCCTACTAGATTCCATCTGAATCTAGTTTAGCCCTTCACTGAGGATATTTNGAAGTGAGGTATGAAATATTTAAACTTTTAACGAGATTTGAGAAGAAAGAAGGAACGCAATTGTGAAAATATTAGTGTATCTGTATCTCATCACTTCTATTTGTTGCTTTTGGTTGGTTCTTGCTTCCTGTTATTAACAGTTGCATGTGCTTATGTCGTAAAATTTTCAAAGATTGCGAGTTTTACTGCAATGTATTCACTGTTGCAACTCCCTCGAGAAATACTTCCACATCTGTAAGTTGGCGCCAGAACCTCAACTAGGAGGAACCAAATTTGTAGTATACGTGTCGGAATCAGTCCAACTTCAGCTTCTTAGGTCTTACCAAATTGGGTTCTGCCATTTTATCTGCTCTTTATTACCATGTTTGAGCAAACTTGCCGGCAATAACTTATCGTTGGTTTACTTGTTACTCTAGCTTCTAGTTTCAGGTGTTGCATCAATTAAGTTTCCATCAGTGTATCCACAGTAGACTAAGACCCAACACCTAATAACCTTCTTCCGGTAAAATGTTTAGAACGTTATGGGATTGTCGGACCAAATTTTATTTTGCCAAAAACATTATCATAAACTGTTTATTACACGAAAGGATCAGCAATACGCTGCAAACACTCCATGAGTAGAAATAATATTAAAAGTTCTCATACTATTTTTGGATCTATTCATATAAGCCTTAGACTAATCTCGCCGTGTCCAGTTAACTTCTGACACACTAGTTTTATGATGCTTTTTATCATCGTGTCCATGATCAATTAAGTTTAAAGAAATTGCATACTGGTTCCTAAGTTTATGACTCATACTAAAATAAACTTGGAAGACGAACGAAATCTCCCATCTCCAGAGACCAAAAAAAAAAAAAGCTCATTTTTATTAGTTGTCATGAACATATAAAGGAAATGAAAATTTCAGATGTAAGGATCATAAAAATTCTCCAATATCAAATGTGAGAAACAACCCAAGCAAACTTGAAATGAAGTTCTATCAATCCCTCATCAGTGGCAATAAATTCCAAGGATTACATGAAAAAAGTCACTTCCTTGATTATCTTATGTTCCCTTAAAAGAATCCAAAGAAATACTTGCTAAAATTAACTCATAAAATACAGTTACAGTAACAATTGTGATCAAAACCAGGGTTTCCATTTGACATAACCCCATTCTGACCGCTCTCCTACCTATCTTTGAGTTCCTGCTCAAACTGAAGCAACTTTTCGCGAACAGGCTGCAAAAACTGCTTCAAATCCTGGCAGATCTGCCACTTATCTTGGTGCAGAAGATCTTTTTCTTCACTAAGCTTTACTTCCATCTACATGTGAGAAAAATAATAAAATTATGGTAAGGGAAGTCCATCTCTGCTCTGCATACATGTCACACCTAAAACATTTTAATTTATTCTCACTACGGTGTAAATAAATAAGTATGCTATCCTGCAATTGTTTCAAGGCCAACATGAAAGCTCAACCTTAACAACAGACAAGGGCATAAAACAAATCTCCAACACGAACATGCATCCAAGGACTGGTCTAGCTAAACTTGGCTAAAATTGAGATGCACAGCAAAAACCTGTTTTCAGTCTAGGAAGGGCTTGAATTTGAGAGTTTAGACAGCGAATATCATGACAATGCTCAATACCCAGCAAAGACCAATACTGTAATTATAAAACGACTCAATCAGCCAAAATCATCTGCTTAATATGACTGCAAGTACAGAATTCAAGTGCCCTTCTTTAGTGGTAGTATAAATCTGCACTGGGTAATACTTGAAGCCCACACAAGTTTTTTATTTTCTTCAACTTTTTGTTCCATAAATAAGCCCTCAAAATAGTTGAGCACATATTTATGCAAGAACCTCAAACTCACAACATCATGATTGAAGCTCATAAATAAAATACCATTAAGTCAAACATAAATAATTAAAAAGGGAGATGTCACAAGGAAGATTAACTCAGTCTTAAAGGGCTGCTTAAAAGTTAGTTTAAATATTGCTTAGTAGTGTAAATTTGATTTTATTTTATTTCATTTTATATTTGATAGGAAACTATGAAATTAAACTTATCCAAGTAGACTAGATTGGATGTTAGAATCCCATAAACATGTTTATCAATTAGACCAGGCTGACCAATCTCAGAGAACAAGTCAAACTCAACAAGTTACTGTAGCCATAGTCAAACAACTGCACTAAAGATCATGGTTAAAAACAGCATCTCCTTTTCTTTGATTAGTATTTAGCATCCTCTAATTATTTATACACAACAGCAGGAGTTGCTCATGGTGAAAAGTTTCTCGTTTTTCATTGCCCCTTCCTCATATAACAGTCCTGTTGTTCTCCATATGTTACAAATGAAGGTCAGCCCACATCAGACAATATCATTCATACCTCTTCAATCTAAGAGGTATATTTTGTCTAAAACAAAGGGCTTACCCCACCAAACACATATCATTTGCTCAATTTAATGCAACTCATCAAATGTCAGTAACTATATAGTATATGAAACAAAGAGTTTTTCAATATTATATCTGCTATATACTTTTACCTATTCAACAAAGTAAAATTTATATAGAGGGAATGTACCTGCAAATCGTCCAGCTCACCGAATGAGAACTCTGGGATCTCTATACGGCCCTTGACTACCTTTTTCTCCTCCCGGATAATCCACTCTCCTAATAATATTTTCATTATTGTTAAATAAACACAATATATAAATTGAAAACAAGAATGAAAACCAGTATACACACATGGTTACCTTTGACTTTCAGTGTCAACTCGTAAGTGTAGCCAACACGTTTCTTGTTTCGAACAGTCACCAAGAATGCCTGCTCAATAGAAAAGTGTACATTCAGAGATATAAACAAAGAAGAAAAAAAATAAAAGACTGTGAAGCCCTAGTAACAAAGGGAAGATTTTCATTATAATAACTGATTAAGCTATAACAAAATAATAATAAATTAAACAATCATAAAAAGTATTGAGATCCTCCACTATTAACTCAAAACAACTAAGAACCATAAAGTAATTTATGCAATATACAAGGCTGATATTCAAGAAGAGTCAGCAAAAAGTTTAATAAAGAAGCCCCAAATGTTATATAGCTCAATTCCTTTTCCTTGAGAAATAAGAGAAGAATAAAGGAAAGTTAACACTTTTTACACCAACATTCTATGATCATAAGACTGTTTTCTTGTCTCAAAGTGTGATCTAGCACTCCCAAAACTCACTTTACTTAAAAACTAGTTAAGCTGCCATAATACTGAGAGAAAAAGCAATAAATATTACATGATAAAAGATAAAATTCACTGAGACAAAAAAGCTAAGGAAAATAACTGGAACCTCCATAAATGACTAATCCAAAATATCAAATCCATGCCGCAAGAACTTACATCGCCTACACAGTTTGACACTTCTTTTATTTCTGCCTTGCCACCAGGGAACTCAAGGGTGCCCACTGTTATAAGCAACTCCTGCACAAAGTAAAGAAACAAAGAAATTTTGCGTAAGTGCTACTTTACACATGGAAAGAGAAAAATAGTTTCTAGAACACAAAATAAGCTATGGCTTAACTATGACAAATGCTCACCTAATACCTTAAAATAAAAACCAAAAATAAGTTCTAACAAGTTTTAAGTTAGAAAAAGAAGAAAAGGGTAAAATGATTACCAGTTGATGACATACAAACCTTTATTCTATCACTTGCCCACTTATTAAGGCTTTTCTCCTCCCAGGTTCCTGCCTATACCAGATACAAACCATACAAACAGAAATAAGCAACCAATTCAAATAAAAAATCAACCAAAAATAATGGCAATATTTACACACACAAATTGTCATAGCACGAAAAATTTCGAATTGAAAAGTATTTGATGTTAAGCTCCTAGTATATATGGCCAAGAATTCATGCTCAATCCTCCACAAAACTAATCACACCATCAACTGCAAGCTATCAGAAGAGGATATTACCCCACCACATACTAAAAGATTTAAAATACACAAACACAAAACACATACAATTTTCACCCAAGTAATTTCATAGCTCAACAGAGCTCCAGCCAAAACCAGGCATTCCTCATTAAGATTGATTTAACATCAAAACCAATCTTAAAAAGATATCACACACTTAAGAAATTGAAAAAAAATACCAAAACCAATTCAACAGTGCACCAAACATCAAGATCAGATACCGTAGAAATTATAGCCTAAAAACAAGAAATTTACGTACACTAAAACCCTTTTTTTGTTCCTTTAACCTTAATCTTGGATCTAACAACTACATTATAACAAGTAACTGAAACAACAAGCAATAATCCCACATAACAAAACAGATAAAATCTTTCCCTACAATCACCAAACAAACCATTGATTAACATCTAAAGAATCAGATCAATAAACCAACATATATAATATATAAAAATAAATAAAATAAAAAAGCATACCCGGTTCCAAACAGAGCCGAGAGTTGCGGGCTCTGATTTTTGCGAAAGAATATCATTTTGTGTAAGCTTTTTGGGGACAGGAAGCGGCGCGGCATCGGTTGTGGCTTCCCTCACCCAGTATGTATAAGAAGAGCCTTGTGGTTGTTCAGAGGACACTTTTGCTTCTCCATTCTCCATTGCACACAAGGTGTTTACTGAAATTACAAAGAGAATGCAGAGGTGGAAAAGGGGAGGGGAGAGCAATTGGGTGAATGCTTTGAGAGTTATTCCTTCGAGCTGGGAAGTTTCGCGTATGTTGCAGAAAAATGGGGAAAGAAATAAATAGAAAATAGACAGGTGAGTCTCTGCGTTGCGTTGACGGTTGACCGGTCTATTCTATTTTATTGTATTGAATTTGGAGGTAAATTTTTGGTTTGGTATGACGGGAGTGGAGGATCTTCCCGAAGCTTTCGGTTGGGTTGTGTTAATGGAGTTTGGGAAAGGATTTTCTGGCCCACAAAACCAGAGGTTCTAGCCCATTTGCCCAATTACAGGTGGGGTGGCTCTGTGTACTACTAAATTACTGAATTGAAGAAGACGTGATATGTATGGAAAATCTTAATTCTGTTGTAAGTGATAAACTTCCTACATGATCCACGCAAGTCCACTTGAATATACACAAAATTATGATTAATTATACAAAGTCCACTTAAATATACATTAAATTATAATTTATCTTTTGTATAATTGGTATGTCAGGAGGAAATGCTATAAAGTTAGCCCATTTCCTTCATTTTACACCACTCAATTGAGAAGAGCTAATAAGATTTCATTACGTCTTAGCCCTCTTTATTATGCTTTCTCTTTTTTTCAATCCCTATTAGTTTATTTTATTGCAGTTACACCATTTAAATTAGCACAAATTCAAGAAAGTGAATGGTGTGTATTATTATACAAGGACGTATTAGTTTGTAATTACCTTTTTCTTTCTTTCTTTATTTAATGATCTTCTTCTCGAATGCTATCCCTATTGAAGAACAAAACATTAATGTAAATAATTTATTAAATAGGAAAATATCACATTAACTCTATTGAATGAGACTCAAATGTCAAATCCTTCTAAGAAGCCTAATTACACCTATTACATGGCAANAGCTCCAGCCAAAACCAGGCATTCCTCATTAAGATTGATTTAACATCAAAACCAATCTTAAAAAGATATCACACACTTAAGAAATTGAAAAAAAATACCAAAACCAATTCAACAGTGCACCAAACATCAAGATCAGATACCGTAGAAATTATAGCCTAAAAACAAGAAATTTACGTACACTAAAACCCTTTTTTTGTTCCTTTAACCTTAATCTTGGATCTAACAACTACATTATAACAAGTAACTGAAACAACAAGCAATAATCCCACATAACAAAACAGATAAAATCTTTCCCTACAATCACCAAACAAACCATTGATTAACATCTAAAGAATCAGATCAATAAACCAACATATATAATATATAAAAATAAATAAAATAAAAAAGCATACCCGGTTCCAAACAGAGCCGAGAGTTGCGGGCTCTGATTTTTGCGAAAGAATATCATTTTGTGTAAGCTTTTTGGGGACAGGAAGCGGCGCGGCATCGGTTGTGGCTTCCCTCACCCAGTATGTATAAGAAGAGCCTTGTGGTTGTTCAGAGGACACTTTTGCTTCTCCATTCTCCATTGCACACAAGGTGTTTACTGAAATTACAAAGAGAATGCAGAGGTGGAAAAGGGGAGGGGAGAGCAATTGGGTGAATGCTTTGAGAGTTATTCCTTCGAGCTGGGAAGTTTCGCGTATGTTGCAGAAAAATGGGGAAAGAAATAAATAGAAAATAGACAGGTGAGTCTCTGCGTTGCGTTGACGGTTGACCGGTCTATTCTATTTTATTGTATTGAATTTGGAGGTAAATTTTTGGTTTGGTATGACGGGAGTGGAGGATCTTCCCGAAGCTTTCGGTTGGGTTGTGTTAATGGAGTTTGGGAAAGGATTTTCTGGCCCACAAAACCAGAGGTTCTAGCCCATTTGCCCAATTACAGGTGGGGTGGCTCTGTGTACTACTAAATTACTGAATTGAAGAAGACGTGATATGTATGGAAAATCTTAATTCTGTTGTAAGTGATAAACTTCCTACATGATCCACGCAAGTCCACTTGAATATACACAAAATTATGATTAATTATACAAAGTCCACTTAAATATACATTAAATTATAATTTATCTTTTGTATAATTGGTATGTCAGGAGGAAATGCTATAAAGTTAGCCCATTTCCTTCATTTTACACCACTCAATTGAGAAGAGCTAATAAGATTTCATTACGTCTTAGCCCTCTTTATTATGCTTTCTCTTTTTTTCAATCCCTATTAGTTTATTTTATTGCAGTTACACCATTTAAATTAGCACAAATTCAAGAAAGTGAATGGTGTGTATTATTATACAAGGACGTATTAGTTTGTAATTACCTTTTTCTTTCTTTCTTTATTTAATGATCTTCTTCTCGAATGCTATCCCTATTGAAGAACAAAACATTAATGTAAATAATTTATTAAATAGGAAAATATCACATTAACTCTATTGAATGAGACTCAAATGTCAAATCCTTCTAAGAAGCCTAATTACACCTATTACATGGCAAATTGGCAATGATATTAATTTATATTGACATATGACAAAATCAAGGCGAATCCATAAATTTCTGTTATGGTGGACAAAAAACAAAATCAATTACACATTAATATTTTTATTATAATGAGTCAAAATTCAGAAATTGAGTGTTTTCCACCCCAACCCACTTTGACTCTTTTTTATACTTTTTTATTATGGATGTTTATCATTATTATTGTAACATATTATAAAATATTTATTTTTAGGCATAATTATCACTAATATTATTATAAATAATTAGAAGTTAATTTTTTTCTTTTTTATTTCTAAAGCTAATTTTAGATGTGTAAGATGACAAATATACATTACAACATTCTTCAAATTACAAAAATAAACTTAAATAGAATTTTAATTATTAAATAAATATGTAAATAAATTTTAAAAAGCAGTGAAAGTTTCGACGCCTATTACAACCAAATGACATTTTGAAATCCAATGGAACCATCAGATTTTGATAGATTGGCGTTGTCTGGTGTCAATGGGTCGGTGGTGGTGTAAACACACATCTTTTTCGAGTTTTGATCATCAGTTGACACCAATTAACCGACGATTGACCAGATCATAATTTTTATTTTTTAAATTATTAATTAATTAATGACTTGTCTAATAAAAATTATTTAAATACATTAGAAAATTAGAATTTAGTAAAATTTTGTCTTCAATCTATATTTTATAAAATATTTTCTTAATTAAGTTTGGATAACCCCATATCCAACCCAAATAGGATGGGTTAAGATTGGTGCCCTATTTTCAATTGCTTGGACAACGCCTTGGACTCCAATTATTAAGGAAGATGTTTGGACACGTGTTACCGAGTGAGGGTAACGATTACGCTAGTGGCTGTGCTAGCACATCTCAAAAGATTTATGTGTAAAAGACGTGGTATGAATTTAGTTACCATAACTTTTTTTTTATTTTTTTATATAAAGTTTAGAAGTAGAAGCGTGTGACAGGACAGCCGTTCTCTAAGCTTAGTGTCAAAGATTAAACAATATTGGTAGATTCAAGTGTTTATTTAATCATCTCTAGAGCAGATATATAAGTTAGAAAAGTTAAAAAAATAATAAAACTAAGGAGCACCACTACTTTACTTCACTATCGATGATAAAAAAATAAATACTAAGTTTAATCTGCTTGAGATCTCAAACCTCGTGTCATAATATTAAGAATGACATTATACTCATTAACACTTTTCATTAATTTTTTTTCACTAACGTCACGTGTCAGCTTACAATTCATCAGTTCATATGAGTCTCGTCTGTCTAATAATGGATCCCACCTAATCAAGCCAATCAAGAACTCCCACATAAGGTTAGTGAGAGGAATTAATGAGGAAGGTTAGTGAGATTAGTATTATTGTAATATTAAATGGAAACCTAAGTTATGCTCAACTCACTGTGAACACGAAATTGGGACAATATTTAGGATGTCATCAGAGATAAAATTTGAACTTGAAATTAACCAAAAACAAGTAGGTAATCAAAGTTCTTTGAGCATTATCCCCTTATTTCTTGAACCTCCTATAACTTTCTTTTAATTATTATTTTTTGGTATTTCAAACTTTCTCATAGACTTCAAATATTGGGCTACAAGCTTATCGTTTGGAGTTGTAGCTTTTGCGCAACCCTTACCCACGTACTTGGCCTCGGATTCCATATTTGGCCTGTAGGGCTTGTTTAAGCAACTTTGACTAATCTTTTTATTTCTTAGATAAAACTCTTAAATGTTCTTATGAGTTCTTCATTTATGGCCTTTCGACCCTGATATTTTATCTCTAATAATCATTTAAGTAATATTATGAAATAAAAATATTGAAATCTATTGTGCGTCAAATCATGAAGCATAGATCTGTGCCACGTGTCAAGTCATATAGTGCTATGCAGAAAATCCGAAGAGCATACATCCCAATTTACTGCGAAGATATCCTTCTAGAATCAAGGCTGAAGATCGCATTACTCTCCTAATCTATCAAAGTTTGGTTTCGCTTCCAGTGTAGGAAGTTAGGAAAGGATAATTCCCAAAGAAGATATTAGACTCCACAAATTAAGGGGTGAAGATCAAGTTAATTTCCTGTTTCATTGATTTTGTATTAAACTCAAACTTGTAATGGGTACAATATATAAACCCAAACCCTAGCTTGCTTAGGGAAAAGACACAAGAATCACTGAGCCTAATGTTAGAGTAGGTGTCCTAGAGTCAATCAATTATTGTAGAATTGACTCTCTAAAATAATGTTTATTATTCAATAAAAAGACAATTTTCTTCTATATCATGTAAATCATAATTGTGTGTATTGATATATGTCCTTAGGATGGTAGAACTGTGATAAGGATATCAAATGTTTCAAATCTTGATAGTGAGAACCCTATGATCACATATGGTAGCTATTCTAGAAATGTCTGTAGCCCCGTATTATTCTGACCAAGGACACAGATAATACGGTAAGGCTGTCATAGTGTTGAACGACCCTGTCGAAAGACAGTGACTGATCTCACTTGTCAAGATTGTTTGCCGACAACCTGGTGCGACACATAGGTGCTTCTTGTAGGAAAGTTTACTAGACAGACCCACTAGAGGATTCCATATGGATGGCAACCCCAGTGTTTATGGAATAAATTCTCTAACGAATGGTAGTGTATGTGATCCATAGACTTGAGATCACTGGAGTGCCTTGTGCACCGATTGGTCTAGTTTGACACTAGCCCAATGTAGTTCTATTTAGAGCTATCAATATGGTAGTGATTGACTGCATCGAGGAGTGTATCAAGACTATGGTAGATCAACAAAGGATTCATCATTGCCAAGTATAGGAGAAGTTATCTCACGACACAATTCAGTGAATGGCAATGACACTAAAGTTGTGGCCACAGTAGGATTGAGTTGTTGCTCGATCCAATTTATTATTCCGGTCATTGGTCTAGTAACTGAATACAAAGACATGAAGATAATTGAGGTTGACACTATTTATGTACCTTAGCGTCGATGAGATGACAGATGATGAAATGATTGGTTTGCATGGTAACTATATCGTTGATAGCAAGTTGTTTCGCTAAATCTGAATCTATCGAGCGGCCATGATGCCTTGTTAGAGGCCAATCTTGGTTTGTGTTTAATGAGACGATTGATTGGTGTCAATCACGAGACTAATCACTACCGATATGATGAAGAGCCTTCGGGTCACACACATAGAAGACGGATTAAGGATGAATTGGTGAGAAAGGATATTTTCGTCATTTGTGATGAAAGAGTATTTTCGTCATTTATGATGGAAAGGATATTTTTGTCTTTTGAGATAAAAGAGTATTTTGGTAATTTCACAGTGCAATTAAATTTACTAAATTCGTTGCCTATATTTAATTTCATATTGAAATTAAAATTAGTGAGATTATGTATTTAAATATATTCATATATTTAAATAATATATATATATATATAATATTAATACTTGATGATATTAATATTAGTGAAGATAATATATATATGAAATATGAAATTCATATTTGAATTTAAATATATATATTCAATATTAATAGTTGATGATATTAATAAAGATAATATATGAATATGAAAATCATATTTGAATTTGAATAAGATGTCATGTGGATTATTACCTTGTTTGGTAATGAGGATTTACTATTCTAGTCATGGAATAAATTTATTCCTAACTAGATTAGGGTTTTAATTTTTGTTGCATATAAAAGGCAACTTAAAATTAAAATAAAATGTAGAACATATTGATTAAATCCAAGCCACTCACCTCACTCTCTCTCACATTTTTCACTTGGAAGAGAAGAGAATTTTTCTTGAAGAAAAATTATGCATCCTTTTTGCTTGTGTGTCTTGCTAGCACTTGAGACTGCAAGTCGATCGCCATCATGTCTTCGTGTGGATACCAAGAGTTCACTCTTATCTTAAAGTGGGAGCTATTCATATCGATTAAAGGAGCCTACAAACGCTGGTATGAAATATGGAGATTTTATATTCAATATCGTTTCATATGTAAATAACGTAACTCGGGTATAAGGTTCTTGGGTTCAATGTTGTTGTTGGGGATTTTATTTTTGTTTTTTGCTGCGTAAACCTCATCAGCGACTAACAATGGTATCAGAGCCTTCCTTATACCTTTTATGTTGTTATTCGACGTTTGGTTGAATTGATTTCGATATGTATCGATTATGTTATTGCATGATGTGTAAAAACTGATTTTTTTTGTGTTCAAAATCTGATGCGGTTGATTTGTTGCTAATCTTTTTTTTTTTTTTTTTTGGCATCTATTTTTTGGGGATCAAAATCAAATAAAACTTGATTCCGATCAGAGGAGGACGCTGCCTTGTAGGGTGGCGTGTTGCTACTATGTGCTACCGCGCACAGCAGCAATAAGAAGCAACAGCGACAGCACGCAAACGCGCGTTGCTACTTCACATATTGCATGCAACTGTTGCGTGCTGCTGCACGGGGAGGAGTGTTGGCCACATGCTGCAA